CGCGCTCCACGAGACAGAGAGAGGGAGGAGAAGCATGTAGAAGTCGCAGACGAGCATACCTCCGACGGCTAGGAGCACCAGCGATCCCCCCCCCCTCGCGCGGAGAACCACCCGCAAGCCGCCGCCGACCTGAGCACTCCGCCGCGACTCCCCTCGTATCGCGCCCGTTCGGTGGAGAGGATGGCGAGGAGGAAGACGAAGATGGAATAGGGGAGAGAGCACGCTGCGGGCGAGGGATTTCAGGCGCTCATTTCGAAACCGCCGCCCACGACTCCCACTACTCCCTCCTCTAACGCTTACAAGTGGGCCTGGCCGCGTGCGGGATAAGGACACACCGCCCACGACCGCGGCGCGGCACCGATCCAGACCAGGTGGCACCTGGCGGATCCGGGCGCGATCGTGCGGCCAGGAATCGGCCGCCTGGTCCAGTTAGTTGGTGCGCGGCCGCTTTTTAGGATTTAGGAGGAAGGAATCATTAGGATCCAAATCCTCCATCATTCCTATGAAAATCCTACGTTCCAAAGAGGCCCTCAGTGTAAATGTTGTATACCACCAGTGAACCTAGGATTTTCCCCTAAAAAGAACGGGAATACACATGATGCCAGCGTGCTAATAATTGGTACTCCCTCCGTCTAGGTGAGTAAGTCATCTTAGGTTGTGCACCGTGACCAAGGAGGAGGAGAAAACGAGAGAACTTAATGTTCATTTGCTAATTAATAGCATTGCATGTAATGAACTAACCACTGCATGTCGTGTTTGGTAGTCTCAAGTCATTAAAAGCATGCACACTCCACATCTCTTATTGGTTGATATGTCAAGAAACAAGAAACGAGGTAGAATTTAATGCACCGCGCCTAAGTGTTTTGGGATTATTTAGTTTTTGTAAGATGACTTACACACCTAGACGGAGGGAGTACTACGTTATATTCCATAGGTAGCAGCAACCATTCATAATAATCCAAAACCGCGTCACATACATCATACGTGCATGCCATATATACACGGCCGGCACACAAACACGTCGACTCATCACTCGACCACACGTGAACCAACAGTGAAAAGCCCTCCGAAAAGGTGGTAACAATCAAGCTTCTGTTGCATCTGTCTGTCATGAACGCCTTAACTAACAACCAAACTAAACTAAGCCTATCGGTTGGTGAGACGTGACCGACTCTGGTCCCGGCCGGCTCTTCCAACCCTGTGGCCGTGATCATTAATCGAGCTTGGAGCCGAGGAGACGGGAGAGCGCGCGCATGCATGCGCTAGCTTGACGTACGCGCGCGCCGAGATGCATGCAGATCAGGGGAGATGGCGTTGGCGTGCATGCCCGTTAATCAGAGCTCGATTAGCCGAGGAGCGCGCGGGCGGCCCATGCATGCCATGCCATGCAGAGAGCATGGTCACCACCTGCACCTGGGCATCATTTGCGCCATCCACCCGACGCCGATGCATGTCTAGGTGTGGGGTGGGGTGGGGATGGGGCGAGGGTGAGTGGGTGACTCGACAGGATCATTGTTGGACAAGACACACTAGGGTCACTGGGCGTACGTCCCGTCCTTGGCGTCACGGTTTGTTGGTGGTGGCTAGCTTTACCAACCTAGCCCGTACCGTGCGCGCGCGAGATCGAAGGAGCGATCGCTATCGCCCGCTACCCGGGCGTTCCATTCGCCGCGCATGCAAGTTGCGCGTCGATCGGGTGCCAAACGGGACTGCGACAAACCAGTTAAGGCCTACCGCTACAGTTAGTTTCCTATGCTAGATAGATCCGATCTGTTTGGTACTGTATCTCAAGAGTCAAGATCGACCCGTCGTGCAGGCCGGGTGACTGAACAACAACCTCCGTGCTCTCTGGAATCGTCGCTGTCAAACGAACCACACGACTGATTTTTCATTTTTCTCCACGCGAGTATAGTACACGGGCACGTCCAGGCTGGGGTGGCGCATGATGGGCTCGGCTAGGCTCGTAGGA